AACACGATTAAACTGATATATAAAACATGCTCGTATCTACAACCTATAGAAATGCAAAACGGCGTCAGTTTAGACGTAATTTGTCCTCTGCTATTATGTTTTTGTGTGCACTGAGGAGTCTCAAACAGGTGTTTGTTAAATCACTTTAAGATTGGCTTTGATCAATGTTTGAAAATGAATTCTTCATATATGATAAATGAGAGGTAACATTTTATTTATGTTTCCACATATTTCTCTCCATTCTTCCTTCTGTTCCAGTTTCTCGTCTCTCCCGTTTTTGTGCTAGTGCGTAGCATGGGTCAGAGTTTGCGTGGAGGACCGCACGTTTTCCCGTCAATTAGTATTTTATAAATCGCATGCCATTTGTTGAGCGTATATCCCTTTATAAATGAGGCCCCTGGTCTCTTGAGATAGATTTCCCCCTGCCAAAATGGTCAGCATTGGGTAGTTAAAAGATAGTTACATATATTTTGTAATTAAATAATACACAACACGCACTGTTTGGGAAGCTTGATGCAATACTTTTTTTACTTTAATAAAGGGTTGTTGATAATCTGGCTCTATTTCCAGGTATGAGAAATGCATTGGGTATTGTGACACCTGCTCTATTTGATAATAAAATACAAGATAAATAGGAAAAAATAATACAAATATTTATATAAACATAAACAAAATCAAGTTAGATAGTTTAAAAAAAAAGTGAAAATGTCCAATTAAGACAAAATAAAATAATGTAAATTAAGTAAAATCAAACACAAATAAACTTTAAAAACTTTAAACGTTTGAAAGTGATGACTGCTGATGAAGTAAGTCTGAATGCTATTTGAAATGATGAAGACCATGGGTGCGTCTCACTTCTCTTATTTTAAATTTCCTCGCTCCTTGGTCTCGGTATCACCGGAAGTTGATTTGTTTGCGCCATCTTGAGTAGCGTCCCAGTGGCATTATTTGTGCCGGAGGACCGAGGAGCGATAATCGAGGAACTACCAGACCATCCTCCGGTGAAATCCTCAGACACTCGCCCCGCCCCCTTACTTTGTATCGCTCACTGATTGGACGATGCAGCGCATGCACTGATCTGGCTGCTGTCAGACGATCAGCTGTGCGGCGTCATCACAAACGGACGTCGCTTCACGTGACGCTCCGGAGGAAACGACGTCCCATTGCTCTTAAAACTCGTTTCCCTGCTTCTCGTGGTTTCCTTGCGTCTCTCCATGCTTCCCTGGTGGGAGGGACCAGTCGCAGGGAAAACGACGCAAGTGAGGGACGCAAGGAATCCATTTAACCGAAGTGAAACGCACCCCATGAGACTCAGACCTTGTTGTAATACCTCCGACTGGTTTCAAAAGCACTTCAGAAGTTGTTTCTAGAAGAAGGAGCGTTACTCTTCCTCTTTCCTCTGAGGGATTCGAACCAGCAGCCGTCCTCTCGACCTCCAGGCGTCCCTCATCCAGAGTTTCTAGAAGACACAAGGGTCCTTTGTCTTGACTTTCCCGTGGCTTCCCCCCCCGCTGAGTGTGTTTGCTCTCTTAGTTTGACACACGGTGTGTCGTGTCTACACACACCACATCACACTATCAATATCCCCTGCTCATCTGAAAGGGGAGATGAAGTGTGTGAAATATCTGAGAGCTTCTCCACCATTGCTTCATCAGAGCAAATAACTAGCTGTGCTTTCAAATAAACAAATGAGGTCGCCTCAGGGTTCATAATACACCCCCCCGCTGCAGAAAAACAGTGTTGGATGTGAAGGTATAAAGGTTTGAATAACCTTTTCTCTTCATCTGTTATTATCCCTTACATCTGGTGGGCTTAGTGAGGCTGATGCAGAAGAATTCCTCCCACTGTTATCTGCTTTCTTTATTTTCCCTTTGTGATGCTTGGCTTGTTTGGACAGTCTAATGCTGTTCATATTCAGAGGCAATGTTACAACTGCGACTCAGAATACACAGAGAAATATGGATTGTTGCCTCTGTTTGAGTTAAATTAAAACCCAGTCGGATGGAAAATACTCAAAAGCCCAATTTAAAGGATCTGGACAGAGCTTGTGCATGAAGCAAAAAATACATAAAAAAGTACCCAGAGCACAAAGGTCTCTTAATGCTTCTTTTTATTTTACATTTTCTTTTATCTGCATTTAAATCAAAACAGGACCTGAAATGCTGTTTTTATACGGTCTGCCATTATAGAGAGGTGCAGGGATGACGTCATTTTGTCCCGAAGGTTAGCATCGTAAGGACTACATCGACAAAATGACATTCGATTTCTCCATTAGATTTTGGAATATTGCAGAAAAATATTATGATAATAACACAGCTTGTTCAGCAGGATAATATCTACATATCAACACTGCTTAATGGCTATAAAAGAACTAAAGCACGGTCACATGACGTCACCACCGCTAAGCTAAAGGCGGCTAATGTTGGGCTATAAAGGAACAACAGCACGGTCACATGACTTCACGTCACCACCGCTAAGCTAAAGGTGGCTAATGTTGGGCTATAAAGGAACACAGCACGGTCACATGACTTCACGTCACCACCGCTAAGCTAAAGGGGCTAATGTTGGGCTAAAGGAACACAGCCCCCACCGCTAAGCTAAAGGTGGCTAATGTTGGGCTATAAAGGAACAACAGCACGGTCACATGACTTCACGTCACCACCGCTAAGCTAAAGGTGGCTAATGTTGGGCTATAAAGGAACTACAGCACGGTCACATGACTTCAAGTCACCACCGGACTCATAACTGAATCACTCTTAGCTTTCTTAGTGTTTCCTCCCTTTTCAAAAAGTGAAAAGCCTTCATTCTTTGGAAGCTGTGAATATCAATATTAGATTAGTGCCAATCTGGAAAGCATTTGTTCTTGCCCTGGACCAAACTAATTTATGGACAGATGGACCACATTGACACCCTTTGCACCTGCAGATAAACGCTGTGTTTTGGACTTTTCCAGAAATATTTGTACCTTTCTGTCAGTGAGCCATTCTCCCTCATTTTCTCCTGAATCCTAATATCCCATCCGAATGGTTACCCTCATATGAGAACTCCTAGATCCCAGTACTATTTCCGTTGAAGTTCCAATTTCCCAGCTTTGCGGTTTACAATTCTTCACAATCTCGCCACTGGGGAGGGTTTCTTTGGTACAATCTAAAATAAAAACCT